TTTGTATCCATTCAGTCAGTCTGTGTCTTTTGGTTGGAGCATTTGGTCTGTTTACATTTAAGGTAATTATCAATATGTATGTTCCTATTACTATTTTGTTAATTGCTTTGGATTTGTTTTTGTAGGTCTTTTTTTGCCCTTTTTTCTCCTGTTCTCCTGTGTTGTGATTTGATGACTATTTTTAGTGGTATGTTTGGATTCCTTTTTCTTTTTTGTGTCTGTATCTATCATAGATTTTTGTTTTGCAGTTACCATGAGGTTTTTGTATAGGAGTCTATATTTATGCATGCTTGTTTCAAGTTGCCCATCTCTTAATTTCTAATGCATTTTAGCTACACTCACTGCATTTGTAGTCTCCTTTCCTCACTATTACTGTTTTTTGGTTTTTTGGGTTGTTTTTTGCGGTACGCGGGCCTCTCACTGTTGTGGCCTCTCACTGTTGTGGCCTCTCCCGTTGTGGAGCACAGGCTCCGGATGCGCAGGCTCAGCGGCCATGGCTCACGGGCCCAGCCACTCCGCAACATGTGGGATCTTCCCAGACCGGGGCACGAACCCGTGTCCCCTGCGGTGGCAGGCGGACTCTCAACCACTGCGCCACCAGGGAAGCCCACTGTTACTGTTTTTGATTTTACATTTTACATCTGATTGTTTTGTGTATCGCTTAACTGCTTACAATGGTTACAAATGATTTTACTACTTTAGTCTTTTAACCTCCCTACTAGCTTTGTGCATGGATGATTTTCTACCTTTATTGTATGTTTGCCTTTATCAATGAGCTTTTCCATTTTGTAATTTGCTTGCTTCTAGTTGTGGCCTTTTCATTTCCGCCTGATGAAGTTCCTTTAGCAGGTGCTGTAAAGCTGGTTTGGTGGTGCTGAATTCTTTTAGCTCTTGCTTGTGTGTAAAGCTTCTGATTTCTCCATGAAATCTGAATGAGAGCCTTGCTGGGTAGAGTATTCTTGGTTGTAGGTTTTTCTCTTTTATCACTTTAAGTATATCATGCCACTCCCTTTTAGCCTGTAGTTTCTGCTGAAAAATCAGCTGATAGCCTTATCAGAGTTCCCTTGTGTGTTATTTGTTGCTTTTCCCTTGTTGCTTTTAATAGTCTCTCTTTATATTTAACTTTTGTCATCTTTCTTACAATGCATTGTGGTGTATTCCTCTGTGCGTTAATCCTGTATGGGACTCTCTGCACTTCCTGTACTTGGGTGCCTGTTTCCTTCCCCAGGTTAGGGCAGTTTTCAGCTATTATCTGTTCATTTATTTTCCAAGACCACCCTTTCTCCCTCCTTCTGGGATCCCTAAAATGCCAGTATTAGTGTGCTTGATGTTATCCCGGAGGTTTCTTAAGCTGTCCTCATTTCATTTCATTCTTTTTTCTTCTTTCTGTTTAGTGGCAGTGATTTCCACTACCTCTGTCTTCCAGCTCACTGATCCTTCCTTCTGAATCATTTAGTCTACTGTAGATTCCTTCTAGTGTATTTTTTATATCAGTTATTGTATTTTTAGTTCTTTATATTCTTTATATTTTCTAATTCTTTTTTAAAAACTTCTGATTTCTTGCTCTGTGCATCTATTCTCCTCCCAAGTTCTTTGATCGTCTTTACAATCATTACTCTGAACTCTTTCTTGGGTGGATTGCCTATCTCCACGTGACTTAGTTGTTCTTCTGGGGTTTTATCTTGTTTATTCGTGTGAAACATATTCCTCTGTTGCCTCATTTTATGTAAATTGCTATTTGTGTTTTTATGTATGTGGTAGGTTGGTTTCGGTCCTCCACCTTGGAAAACTGGCCCTCTGTAGGAAACGTCATTTGTGTCCCAGCAGTGCACTCCCCTCTCATCCCTCAAGGATCAGGGGCCAGCTGGTCCCAGGGTAGTGTCTGGCCTGTGTTTGTGGACTCAGTCTGCAGGCTGCGGAACTGTAGTTTTCGTGCTTCTAGTGACTGTCCCCTGGTAGGTGAGCCTGGTGTAGAGGCTTGTGCAGGCTTCTTGGTGGGAGGGGCTGGTGCCTGTCCCCTGGTGGGTAGAACTGGGTCTTGGTCCTCTGATGGACAGGACCATGTCTAGGGACATATCTAGAGGAGGCTGTGAGCTCAGGAAGTCTTTAGGTAGCCTGTCTGCTGATGGGTTTGACTGTGTCCCTGCCCATTGTATTGTTTGCCTCAGTGCCTCTCAGTACTTGAGCCTATGGATGGGTGGGGCCAGGTCTTTGCGCCAAAATGTCAGCCTCCACAAGAACTCACACATGCAGATGAATGCTCCCTGATACATCAGGCACCAGAGTCTGTGTCCCCAGGGTGGGCCACAGCCACCTCCCCAGGAGACCCTCCAAGACCAGCAGGTAGGTCTGGCCCAGGCTTCTGTCAGATTACTGCTTTTGCCCTTGGTCCGGCGCATGTGAGATTTTGTGTGCGCACTTTGAGAGTGAAGTCTCTATTTCCCCCATTCCTGTGGAACTCTTGCAATCAAGCCCCACTGGCCTTCAAAGCCAAATGCTCTGGGGGCTCCTCTTCCCCATGTCAGACCCCTGGGCTGGGAGTGGAGTCTGACAGGCTCAGAACTCTCACTTCTTTGGGAGAACCTGTGCAATATAATTATTCTCTAGTGGGAAGAGAGGAAGCACACCTGGGGGTATGGGATTTGATTATATCATGAGTGTGCCCATCTCATTGTGGTTCCATCTTTATGTATTTAGATGTAGAGAATCTTTTCTGCTAAGTTTCAGTCCTTTTTAACAATGGTTCTGCAGATTGTTCTGATTTTCGTGTGCTCGTGAGAGGAGGTGTGCTTAGGGTCCTTCTCTGCCATCTTGGCTGCTCTCCCTTCAGCATTTTTATTACTTCCTTTTTGGACTTGGAGTCATGTAGACTGGAGAGGTCTGTTTCATTGCTTGTTCTTTCAGGGGATTTCACCTGTTCTTTTAATTGGGAGTAATTCTTCTGCTTTTTCATTTTACTTATATTTCTCTTATTCTGAATTTATTTTTTTAAGTATTAAATTTATTTATTTATATTCTATTTTTGGCTGCGTTGGGTCTTCGTTGCATGTGGGCTTTCTTAGTTGCAGCAAGTGGGGCTACTCTTCATTGCGATGCATGGGCTTCTCATTGCAGTGGCTTCTCTTGTTGCGGAGCACGGGCTCTAGGTGCACAGGCTTCAGTAGTTGTGGCACACAGGCTCAGTAGTTGTGGCTCACGGGCTCTAGAGCACAGTCTCAGTAGTTTTGGCACACAGGCTTAGTTGCTCCGTGGCATGTGGGATCTTCCCAGACCAGGGCTTGAACCTGTATCCCCTGCATTGGCAGGCATATTGTTAACCACTGTGCCAGCAGGGAAGTCCCTCTTACTCTGAATTTAGGGAAAACAGTTGTCTACTGTGGTTTTGAAGGGCTGTTTTTATCTGTGAGTGACCCTGTGTAGACTGTATGAGTCCAGTATTTTTGGTGTGAGGGCTGTTTTTGGCTTGCTGTGTCTTTCCTCAGGGTGTACTGGCCCTTGTCTTCTTGATATAGGTGGTGTGTTTGATATTGTGTTGACTGGAGCCTGCACTGGATGTTGGGCAGGACCTCCTCTTTTCTCTGTGATTGTTAACAACCCTGTCAGGGGTAGAGTCTGCTCCCCGTTTGTTGGAGTGGAAGCCCCTAGATCCGATTCTAAGCTTCAATGTGAGGTAGGCAGGACTAGAACACTCCCTCTGGGAAAGGAGCCCCTGTGCATTCCTCCCCAGGAGCTGTTTGCTGTGATGTGCAACTCTGTGACACTGCCTGCCATCTGGTGTGCACACCCACAGAGATCACTGTTGCTGGCACTGCCCTCGGGGGCTGCATCTGCTGCAGGAGTGCTTGGAATCGGCTTGGAGGTTAGGTATGGGTGAGAAACCCTCACAAAACCATGGGCGAGAAAGTCCTCTGGAGCTGCAGCCCCACACCTAAAGCAGGAGTGCCAGTGATCACCTCAGTATTCAGTGCCGCCTCCATGTGTGTGTGCCCACAAAGTTTGCAAAACCCACTGCAGTTGGAGCTGTGCCCTGCTGTGAGCATGCTGATAGTGAGGCTGCTATAGTGGACTCATGCCCCTCCCTTCCCATGTTGACAGTGGGGCTCCTACGGCAGCCTCATGCTCCATCCTGTGCACACCCCCAGTTGTGGCTCGGGCCACACTCCAGGCCCTTTGGGCTGTCTTCACACAGCCAAACCGAGTCATCTCCCCAGGTCTGTCTACTGAGTTTCAACACCCAATCACTATGCACGCCAGCAGGTGCACCTCAGACTGGAAAGTGTGGCAATGTGGCAAAGACCGTCTGTGCTGGTCTCTCTACCCTGTGGGGCAGCAGACCAGCTCCTGCACTCTGCTTTTGAGCCTCTGAAGCTCCCTAGCTGTCCCAGCAGACCTCCCAGCCAGTGAAGGAGGCCCCCAGGGTGAGGGAACCTTTCGTCTTTCACAGCTCCCTCCCAAGGGTGCAGGTCCCATCCCAATTCCTCTTCTCCCTTTTCCCTTCATCCTACATGGTTTTGTGGAAATCTTTCTTGCAGCTTTGGTTGTCTGAGATCTTCCTCAGGCTTTCAGTAGGTAGCATGTATGGATTGTTCCACGTGTAGATGTATCTTTGGTGTATTTGTGGGAGCAGGTGAGCTCCATGTCTCTCTACTCCACCATCTTGGCCTCCTCCCCCTTTCTATACTTTTTTGACTTTTGAACCATATATTTATTAACCTAAGTAAAGGTAAAACAGAATTATATAAAAAATCTCAGAAAATTTTTCACTTTCCAACCCACATTATTAGCATTGTATTAATTACCACCATTTTGGCTTAATGTATGTCCATAAAAGTTATTTGTTCTGAATTAAGAAGTCTATTATTTTAAATTATTAAAGTTATCCATAATTACTTGGGGGATAAAAGGTCATAAATAGTGACTAAAAGAGGATCACAGGATGGAGAAACTGCCAGAGTCTGGGTCTGACTGTTCTTCACTTGTTCCTTGTCTCTGTCTCTTAGGTGGTTCCTTCATCAGCTTCAGGCCAAGTTCGAAGTTACTATGTAGATTGGAAAATGTTGCGTGATGTGAAGAGAAGAAAAATGGCCTATGAGTATGCAGATGAGAGGCTTCGGATCAATTCTCTCAGGAAGAATACCATTCTGCCAAAAGACCTTCAGGTTAGCTAAGTAAGATGAGTATCTACCATAAAATCATTAAATCAAATCAGATCACTTTTAATACAGTTTGTTGTGACTTAGTATCAATATACTTTCTGGAGAATGTAATCAGATTTTTTTCAATCAACGTAAACAAATACCCTTGTAACTGATTTTGATGAGTTTCAAATTAAAAAAGAACTATTCATTCTTAACTAGCTCTTTAACCATTTCATTAGGTGATGCTTAGAAAGTACTGATGCATGGTAGCCACACAGAAATTGGATAGTTATTTCTCCAATCATCCCAATCATTCACCTCTCAAGGCATTGGGAGTCTTTGCCAATGCGTGGGGCCAGGTGCCCAGCACATGGCCTACACCATTCCTTATCCAGGGCCATCCCTAAGCCTGCCTCTCCGAATTCCTGTGCCCATGCGGTGGACTTCCATTTAGGTTTACTTTCTTGTCACACTCTAACTTGAATAAGAGAATGTCAACTCTGTTTGATTCCCTGAATCATAAGTCCTGCCTAACTGGTGACATAAAATACCTGCATTCAAGAGTCTTATCAGGGACTTCCCTGGTGGCGCAGTGGTTGAGAGTCCACCTGCCGATGCAGGGGACACGGGTTCGTGCCCCGGTCCGGGAAGATCCCACATGCCGCGGAGCGGCTGGACCCGTGAGCCATGGCCGCTGAGCCTGCGTGTCCGGAGCCTGTGCTCCGCAACAGGAGAGGCCACAACAGTGAGAGGCCCGTGTACCGCAAAAAAAAAAAAAAAAAAGAAAGAGTCTTATCAGAGAGTATAACTCAAATTCAAAGCCATTAAACTTATCAAAAGCTCAGAGTAAATAATATTTCATTTATATAAATTTGGAGAATAATATACAGGCCCCTCATTACTGTGGATTCTTTTTAAATCTTGTCTAAATTAAGCCAGATAAGCAGAAAACTGAGTGCCCTGGACCATTCTGTTATGACTTTTACTGTAGTGACATTAAGCTACTTGCCTATATTTAGCGAGTAATAAGAAGTGGCTCCTGAGAAGCTCAGCTTAAGATGTTGTGGAGGACAAATGTATGAAGATCCCCAGAAGAGTCTGTGGTATGAGAACCAGCAATAGCTGTGCAGAGACTCTATGAATCATGGGAAGTGATCATGGCACTATGTTGCCTGCCAACTAGCTTACAAGTCAAATTTATGCCCCAGTGCTAACATACTTACAGGCTCTCACAGAATGCTCTTTTGTTTCATTTTCCCTTTGCCCAATTTCCTCATTTGTACACTGCCTTAAATCTTTACATTCACACATATGTAAACAATTTGTAGGTATTCTTCAAGTTCTGTCTCTATGAAACTTTACTTCATTCTGCCAGCCCAATCATTTCTCCTGTCTCCATAGCATTTACTGTCTACCATTCATTGACTTAATCATGTTGTTTTATATAATTCTCTCAGTATTTCTTTTTTTTTTCTTAATAGTATTTCTTAATAGCACATGCATAAGCTTTTGGAGATCAGGAACTACTCTTAATGCTTAATAGTTGATATAAATTTAGTGGCTTTCATATACATTTTCTCATTTATGTACTTCTAATATGTTAGAGTAATTATTTTGCTTCCATCATAGTCTAGTACAGGGTCAATCACACACATACACACACACATACACATGCACACACACGCACAATAATACACATACTTCAACCACATACATAAGACTAAATCTGTACTGACAAAACCTTAGTGCTAACTACTGCAGTCATCTCTGTTTTTCTCCCCTGAACCATTTTTGCCCTTACCATATTTATTTCCCTACGTTGCAAATGATCTTTTAAAAATGTAAGTCTCACTTGATCACTCATCTTTGCATCTCCAGCCGTCAGAGTCTTTACCGTAGGTGTCAAGGTTCTGAGGGCTCCTGCCCTTCCTTCTTCTTCAACTTCACCTCAAACCACATTTTCCTCCTACTTGATGTTCAGTCCAGAGGTTTCAGACTTTTATGATTCAAAAATCTTATGGGAAATAACCTAACTTACACCTCAAGGAACTAGAAAAAGAAGAACAGGTAAGCCCAAAGTTAGCAGAAACAAAGATCAGAGCAGAAATTAATGAAAATAGAAACCGGAAAAATTAAAGATCTGTGAAACTAAGAGCTGGTTTTTTGAAAAGATAAAATTGATGAGCCTTTAGTTTGGCTAACCTAGTAAAGAAGACAGAAGACTCCAATAAAATCAGCAATGAAAGAGGAAACATTACAACTGATACCAAATAAATACAGAGAATCATAAGAGACTGATAAGAGCAATTGTATGCCAACAAATTGGCTAGCCTAGAAGAAATGGATAAATTCCTAGAAACACATAACCTATCAAGACTGAATCATGAAGAACTAGAAAATCTGCAGTGACCAATAATGAGTAAGGAGATTGAATCAGTAATCAGAAACCTACTAAGAAAAGCCCAGGACTGTGCCTTCATGAGTGAATTCTACCAAACATTTAAAGGGGAATTAATGCCAATCCTTCTCAAACTCTTCCAAAAAATTGAAGAAGAGGGAAGCATTCCCAAAGTCATTTTATGAGCCCAGCATTGCCCTGATACCAAAGCCAGATCAGGACACTACAAGAAGAAAACTACAGGTCAGTATCCCTGATGAATAGAGATGTAAAAATTCTCAACAAAATACTAGGAAACCAAATTCAACAGTTTTTCCTCTAAGATCAGGAGCAAGACAAGGATGTCTACTCTTGCCACTTCTGTTCAACAGAGTACTAGAAAGCCTAGCCAGAGCTATCAGGCAAGAAACAGAGATAGAAGGCATCTAATCAGGAAGGAAGAAGTAAAACTCTCTCTATTTGCAGACAACATGATATTATATATAGAAAACCCTGAAGACTCCACCAAGGAACTGTTAGAACTAATCCATAAATTGAGTAAAGTTGCAGGTTACCAAATCAACCTACAAAATTTAGTTGTGTTTCTATACACTGACAAACTATCTGAAAAAGAAATAAAACAATCCCATTTACAATAGCGTCAAAACTAAACCTAGAAATTAAGAAGGTGAAAGATTTGTACACTGAAAACTATATGCACTGATGAAAGAAACTGAAGAAGCAAAAATAGAAAAAATAATCTTAAAATTTGTATGGAACTACAAAAGACCCTCGAATAGTCAAAGCAATCCCGAGAAAGAAAAGCAAAAAAAAAAAAGCTGGAGGTATCACATTTCCTGATTTAAAAGCTATAATATTCAAAATTGTATGGTATTGGCATAAAAACAGACACCCAGAAATGAAGCCACAGATACATAGTCAACAAATATTTGACAAGGTAGCCAAAAATACTCAGTGGGTATTGGATAGTTTCTCCATAAATGGTGTTGGGGAGACTGGATATTCGCATGTGAAAGAATGAAATTGGACCCCTATCTTACCGCACTCACAAAAATTAAATTGAAATGAGTTAAAGACTTAAAGGACAGATCTGAAAGTGTAAAACTGCTAGAAGAAAACAAAGGGTAAAAAAGTTCTTTGCCATTTGTCTTTGCAGTGATTCTTTAGGTGTGACACCAAAGGTGCGAGCAACAAAAGCAAAAATAAGCAAGTAGACTACATCACACTAAAAGAAACAACAACATGAAAAGGCACCCTACAAAATGGGAGAAAATATTTGCAAGTCATGTACTTCATAAGGGGTTAATACCCTGAAAATGTAAGGAAGTCATACAACTCAGTAGCCCCCCAAATTTTTTTTGATTAAAAAATGGGCAGAGAACCTGAATAGACATTTTTCTAAAAAAGACATAAAAATGGCCAACAGGTACATGAAAAGATGCTCAACATCACTTATCAGGGAAATGCAAATGAAAACACAAAGAGCTATCACCTCACACCTGTCAGAATGGCTACTATCCAAAAGACAAGAGATAAGTTTTGGTGAGGATGTGGAAAAGAGAACCCTTGTGCACTGTTGGCGGGAATGTAAATTGGTGCAGCCACTATGGAAAACAGTATGGAGGTTCCTCAAAAAATTAAAAATAGAACTACCATGTATGATCCAGGAATTCCATTTCTCAGTATAAATCTGAAGGAAATGAAATCACTAGATAGAAATAGAAGTGATATCTGCACCCCTATGTTCACTCCAGCATTATTCACAATAGCCAAGACATGGAAACCACTTGAATGTCCATCAACAGATGAATGTGACACTCAGTGTGATTCATACACAGGCACAGAGTACGATACTATTTAGCCATAAAACAGAAGGAAATCCTGCCCTTTGCAATAACGTGGATGTACCTTGAGGGCATTATGCTAAGTGAAGTAAGTCAGAAAAAGACAAATACTGTATGATCTCTCTTATATGTGGAATCTAAAATAACAAATTCATAGAAACAGAGTAGAATGGTGGTTACCAGAGACTGGGGACTGGGGAAAATGGGGAGATGTTGGCCAAAGGGTACAGACTTCCAGTTTTAAGGTGAATAAGTCCTGGGGTTGAATAAGTACAACATGGTGACTACAGTTAACAATACCATATTATATACTTGAAAGTTGCTAAAAGAGTAAATCTTAAGTGTTCTCACGCACACAAAAAAGTAATTATGTGGGGTGATGGAGGTGTTAACTAACCTTATTGCGGTAATTATTTTTCACAGTATATACATGCATCAAAATATCACATTGTACACCTTAAACTTATACAGTGTTATATGTCAATTATATCTCAGGAAAGCTGGGAAAAAATCGTTTGGGGAGACAACAGAAATGCATTCATACATTTTCCAAAAGAGAAATGAGAATGTCTGTAGCAGCTCTATTTGTAATAGCTCAAAACTAGAAACTACCCGGATGTCCATCAGCTGTACAATGGATAAATGAATTATGGCATATTCACACAATAAAAGCACCAATGAGAATGAACAACTTACAACACATGCACCAGTATGAAGACTCTCACAAGCATTTTATTGAGTGAAAGAAGCCAAACAGAAATGAATAAAAAAGAATGGTTTTTATTATACTCCATGGTTACATTTATATAAAATCAAAACAAGAAAAATTCATCTGTGGTGTTAGTAACCAGGTTAGCTCTTAGCCAGGAGGTCAGTGACTGAAAGGAGGCAGAGGGAAGGCTTGGGGTGCGGGTAATTTTTCTTAATCTAGTTGCTGGTTACACAGCTACGTTCTGTTTGTGAAAACTTGTTGAGCTTTACACTTATGGTTTGTGGATTCTTGTGTATCTACGTTGTTTCAATTAAATTTTGAAAAATTACATTGTATGTCAAACATTTCTGTCATTTTTCTGATCTGTTTGTTTCTACTCAGAGCTTAAATTTCACTATGGTGTCCAGGGTTCTTTTGCCAAACTTGGCTACATTAATGAATCTAGCCCTTCGTTCTCTTCCTCTGAGCATTAACTAATCATCTAGAATAAATAAATGCATGTGATCTGTGTAAATAATGTTGTGACTTCCCTTAGGAAGTGGCTGATGAAGAAATTGCTGCCCTTCCCCGGGATAGCTGTCCTGTTAGAATCAGAAATCGGTGTGTTATGACATCCCGTCCACGAGGTGTAAAGCGGCGCTGGAGGCTTAGTCGTATCGTCTTCCGTCACTTAGCCGACCATGGGCAACTGTCTGGGGTGCAGCGAGCAATGTGGTAATAATCAGCTCCAGAACCTACTGAGCTTACAGGAAAACCAGTTCTGGCAAGAAGAGACTTCTCTAATAGACAAAAACCTAGTTTTTATGGGGGTCCAGAATAAAGGTCTTCTCTACCTGATGCTATCTATAGTTAAATTACTTATAAATTTTAAATGAAAAAATTTGGAAGTTTCATTCTGTCAGTGAATTATCTTTTCTCCTGGACTTAATAAATTACTGTTCCCAAGCATAGTGTGAAGAGTAGAGTAATAAAAAATATTTCTGTGGAAATATGGTCTGTATAGTTGTCTTTTCCATCATGTTTATTAATCTTTTAGCAACAGGTAAGTGTTCCTGTACTTTAAGAGCATTATTTCATACAGCAGAATTATCTTCTTGTTAATTCAACTCATTGACATGCATGTCAGTGCTCATCTATGGCAGTTTTTAATCCTGGGATGGCTACCCTGACCTGCACAGCTCACTTTACTCTTAGTTGATTGTTAGACAATACATTGGAAAGTAAAGCTGATGCTCTGGATTATCTAACTAATGCTCAACTTCTTTGTGTGATGGCTGAACAAAAACAGAACCACTAATTGTTTTCTTTTTCCATCTTCAAGAGCCCTTAGAACAAAATATGTCCTTTAAGCCCTGAAAATCTGTCCAAAGAGGATGAGTTTTGCTAGAATGGTATATATTCTCTATATTCATATTTATTTCATCTGTAACAGAAATAAGTAAAGGTAGTAAAGTGTTGTCTCATGCAGTAACTCAGTAGTGTCATCAGCCCAGTGATAAAATGTACACAGGGTGGTATGGATGCACCTACCTAACACCAATCTGGAAGGTATTCCTGGAGCTGACACCTGAATTTAAATCAGGAGGCAAGGGATGAGGTTGTTTGCAAAGGGAACAGTGGAAGCAAAGGCGCTAAGGCATCAAACAGTGAAACTGCAGTCACTTCAGTGTATCAGAACTAAGCAGCACATGACAAAGGTCGTAAATACCAGCTGTTGGAGAGTTTTAAGCAAAGGAACGACATGATAGTTTGCTCTACAGACAAATGACAGCTGTGTGGTAGACGGCCATGAGAGGAAAAGACTACAAGCAAGATAAGCAGCTAGGAGGATGTCTTAATTGTTCAGGAAGACTAGGGCCTGATCTAAGGTAGTGGTATTAGCAAAGTAGATGAGGACAAATTTTAAAAGTGTTGTTTAGGAAGGAAAATTGGGCAACACTTAGAAACTGATTATATTTAATTGGTAAAGAACTTTCTGGGTTCCTGGTAAGGGCTACTATATAGATGGTAGAAGGCAACTCCAAAATAATTTGGGGGATAAAAGAATGGGTTTGGGGGAAACAGAAGATACGTACCTGAGTTCAGATTTCAGTTGTACAATGTTTGAGATGCAAGTGTCATCCCGATGGGAAAGTCAAGTCTGGAAACCAGGTGAGGTCATGAGAGGAAATTATGATATACCTTGGATTCGTATTTCCTAAATTTGTATTACGACTTACTAACTGAAATGCTCTAGCTAACATCTCAACTAGTAACCAGTATTAATCAAATCATAGCTAGAACATGAAAGTTGCTGGTTTCTGGCATATCATTGATAACCTACCTTTTCCTTTGTTTGAATCAGTGTCCAAGCATTATCCACATATTTGTTTTGATTGCCATCTCCTACTCCTCCCTTTTTTCTTCATATCATTCATTTGTTGAAGGAGCCAGGTCATTTATCCTGTAGGACGTCAACATATGGCTGTTTGCTTCTTTATGTGTCCTTTAACTTAGTCCTCTATCCCTATAAAGTGGAAGTTACATCCAGAGGCTTGACTAGATTCAGGTTCAGTATTTTAGGAATGAATTTTCTCAAGTGTGCTGTGTACTCTGTCCCTTCACATCAGAAGGCACGTATCTGGTTGTCCAACTTTAGTGATGATTTATCAGTGGATTCAGGTGGGGTCAGCCTGATCCCTGCATTTGAAGTTCACCATTTATTAACCTGTCACCTAATGATTTTAGCATTTCACTGGTGTATGTTACCCTGACCTCTACTTCAATTAATGGTGATTGTCTAAATTCCATCACTTTTTCTTCATTAGCTGGAATTTTTCTGTAAGGAACTTAACAATTTATCTTCCTGAAATACATTTCTTAAAGACCAGATAAATGCATGATTCTCTATCAGTTTTTAGAGTGAGTTGGTGCTCTAGCAACTTCCAAAGGAAACAAATGACTTTTCACTACAATGAGCTTGTAGATTTCCTGTGTATTTAATGTTTCAGTCTACTCCAGACATTATTTTGATGTTCAAATTAATCCTTCCACTCTTGGGTCCTGTATCTTGTTGACTTGATACACTTTGACTTCATACAGGACTTTTTGATAGTTCCTTGCTTTCTAGCATAAGATAACCCAGGCTTACCTTGTATATTTCCTGCCTCAGACATTTTTTTCAAGGGTCCCTCTTTTCGTAGGTGATGGTAGAGACCACATCTGGATGTTGTAAATAGTGCTACTGTGAACGTTGGGGTGCATGTATCTTTTCGAATTTTTGTCTTTTCTGGATATATGCCCAGGAGTGGGATCATATGGCAACTCTATTTTTAGTTTTTTAAGGAACCTCTATACTGTTGTCCATAGTGGCTGCACCAATTTACGTTCCCACCAGCAATATAGGAGGGTTCTCTTTTCTCCACACCCTCTCCAGCATTTATGTGTAGACTTTGATGATGGCCATTCTGACTGGTGTGAGGTGATACCTCATTGTAGTTTTGACTTGCATTTCTCTAATTACTAGCAATGTTGAGCATCTTTTCGTGTGCCTGTTGTTCATCTGTATGTCTTCTTTGGAAAGATGTCTATTCAGGCCTTCTGTCCATTTTTAATTGCGTTGTCTGTTGTTTTACTATTGAGTTGTATGAGCTGTTGGTATATTTTGGAAATTAAGCCTTTGTCAGTTGCATCGTTTGTGAATATTTTCTCCTAGTCCGTAGGTTGTCTTTTTGTTTTGTTTATGGTGTCCTTTGCTGTCCAAAAGCATATAAGCTTAACTGGGTCCCATTTGTTTATTTTTGCTTTTATTTCTGTTACCTTGGGAGACTGACCTAAGAAAACATTGCTACAATTTATGTCAGAGAATGTGTTTGCCTGTGTTCTCTTCGAGGAGTTTTATGGTGCCATATCTTGTGTTTATCTTGTCATATCTTGTATTTTCAGTTTATTTTTGTGTATGGTGTGAGGGAGTGTTCTAACTTCATGGATTTATATATGACTGTCCAGCTTTCCCAACACCACTTGCTGAAGAGACTTTTTTCTCCACTGTATAGTCTTGCCTCCTTTGTCGGAGATTAATTGACTGCAGGTGTGTGGGCTTATTTCTGGGCTTTCTATTCTGTTCCATTGATCCATATGTCTGTTTTTGTGCCAGTACCACGCTATTTTACTTAGTGTAGCTTTGTAGTATTGTCTGAATTCTGGGAGGGTTATGCCTCCAGCTTTGTTCTTTTTCCTCAGGATTGCATTGGCAATTCTGGGTCTTTTGTTGTTCCATATAAATTTCAGGATTATTTGTTCTACTTCTGAGAAAAATGTCATGGGTATATTGATCACATTAAATACATAGATTGCTTTCGGTAGTATGGCCATTTTAACTATATTAATTCTTCCAATCCAACAACATGGCATATCTTTCTGTTTCTTTGAGTCATCTTCAATATCCTCTATCAGTGTTTTATTGTTGTCAGCATGTAAGTATTTCACCTCCTTGGTTAGGTTTATTCCTAAGTTATTTTCTTGTCATTATTTTATTTTATTTTTATTATAATTAAATGTTTTATTGAAGTATAGTTGATTTACAGTGTTGTGTTAGTTTCAGGTGTACATCAATGTGGTTCAGCTATACATACATATATATCTATTTTTTTCCAGATTTTTTTCCCTTATAAGTTTTTTTTTTTTTTTTTTTTTTTTTGCGATACGCGGGCCTCTCACTGCTGTGGCCTCTCCCGTTGTGGAGCACAGGCTCCGGACGCACAGGCTCAGCAGCCATGGCTCACAGGCCCAGCCGCTCCGCGGTATGTGGGATCTTCCCAGACGGGGGCACGAACCCATGTCCCCTGCATCAGCAGGTGGACTCTCAACCACTGCGCCACCAGGGAAGCCCCCCTATAAGTTATTATAAAGTGAGTATAATTCTCTGTGCTATACAGTAAATCCTTTTTGGTTATCTATTTTATATATAGTAGTGTGTGTATGTTAATTCCAAACTCCTAACTTATCCCTCCCTCCCCCCTTTCCCCTTTGGTAACTGTAAGTGGTTTTCTATGTCTGTGGGTCTATTTCTGTTTTGTATATAATTTCATTTGTATCATTTTTTTTGAGATTCCACATATAAATGATATCATATGATATTTGTCTTTCTCTGACTTCACTTAGTATGATAAAGCGTAGGTCCATCCATGTTGCTGCAAATGGTATTATTCATTTTTTATGGCTGAGTAGTATTCTATTGTGTGTATATGTGTGTGTGTGTGTGTGTATGTGTGTATATATATATGTATCACATCTTCTTTATCCATTCATCTCTTGGTGAACATTTAGGTTGCTTCCATGTCTTGGCTATTGTAAACAGTGCTGCTGTAAACATAGGGGTGCATGTATCTTTTTGAATTATGGTTTTCTCTGGATATATTCCCAGGAGTTGGCTTGCAGGATCATATGGTAACACTATTTTTAGTTTTTAAGGAAACTCCATACTGTTCTCCATAGTGGCTATACCAGTTTACTTTGCCACCAACAGTATGAGAGGGTTCCTTTTTCTCCACACCCTCTCTAGCACTTAATATTTGTAGACTTTTTGATGATGGACATTCTGACTGGTGTGAGGTGATACCTCATGGTAGTTTTGATTTGCATTTCTCTATAATTAGCAATGTTGAGCATCTTTTCATGTGCCTTGTGGCCATCTGTATGTCTTCTTTAGAGAAATGTCTAGATCTTCTGCCCATTTTTGATTGGGTTGTTTGTTATTTTACTATTGAGTTGTGTGAGCTGTTTGTATATTTTGGAGGTTAAACTCTTGTCAGTGGCATCATTTGGAAATATTTTCTCCCATTCTATAGGTTGTCTTTTCATTTGTTTATGGGTTCCTTTGCCATGCAAAGGATTTTAAGTTTAATTAGGTCCCATTTATTTATTTTTGTTTTTATTTCTATTACTGTAGCAGAGAGATACAAAAAGATACTGCTGTGATTTATGTCCGAGTGTTCTTCCTATGTTTTCC